TCCTGTCAGAAAAAGCACAAATTTCATTCCAAGACATGTATTCTCCACATAGCTCATTCTGTGGTGTTAAAACCTACATGCTTACATAAAAGCCACCTTTTCAAACATACTTCTGGAAAACAAAACAATAGTTTTTATAATTCTGCATTAAATCATAAAACTCATAATGTCATCTTTAAGAAAATTATCATTGAAATAATGAGCATATACTTTCTTCTTAGTTACTACTGGAACAACTTCTTTTCACAATTATTCAACTGCATTCCAGAAGCTCAGCAACATCACAGTGAACCTCAAACTGGTTTATTTCCCTGCTACAATACAGGGTGACAGTAAGCTTCATGGGAAAAATAGAAAACAAACTAGAAGCCCAAAACCCAAAACAAATCCGTAACAAACCACATTGCTGTGTTGAGTATTGCTAAAGAAAAAGGAGTTCAGGTGAGTCAATACTGAAATTAAAAAACATTTTACCCCCTAGCATCAGCCACAAAGGTCCAAGTCCCTTCCCATGTCTCTTAGAGCTATATCAAAAACGCTCAGCACCAACTTTAGACAGGATAAACTGAAGGGAACACCAGCAGACACAATATTTCATTCTTATCTGTACACCATAAGTAGGAAAGAAAGCTGATATTACAACAGTGACTCCATGAACTGGTGGATAAAGTCCAATCCAAATTATGTATTTTGATGCCCATGCCTCCTGACTAGGCAAAAAAAAATCCAAAAAAACCAAAACCTAAAAAACCTCAAAATCCACAGTGCAACTATAACATATACATGCAATCTTCTCAGGTACAAATACCAGCACTCAAAAGTCAGAAGACAAAATCAAAGGTCTAGCTCTAGCCTATCAAACCCACTTCATGTTACTCAGATTATCTTAAGTTCAATGCTAGCAATTCAATGATAGCAGGAACGCATTTTGTCTCAACATTATCATAAAAAATGTTATGGAAACAAAAGAAAACCCATCAGTTATTATAACAAGGGAAGAATGAGAAAAGTAAGTAAAAAGCACTGAGTAAAGATACAAGAAAAGGAGTCAGTAGTGCTTCAAATAACAGTAATAATATATTTATGAAAACCCTACATTAAATAAAATACACACCTACACACAYACACACAAACACACTCATCTTTCCTTTACAGTGCATTAGCCCTAAGCCAAAACTGAGAGCATCTCTGCTACAGGCACGTGTTACTGCTTAACAAAAATAAGAGCAGCAAGCTGAGAAAGAGGACCTTAAAAAGAAAACATCATCTATTCTAGACCCTTCTTGTTTTGAAGCAAGTTCAAGCACACCCCAAATATTCCTGATAAGAACATTCCCCTTGATGTCAAAAAAAAATCAATAAATAGAAATCCCAACTTGTCACACAACCTAAGAGACAAGAAACCACTTCTGCCAAGAGTTGGAAAATGATACAGTGTAAGAATACTTAAGTATCTCATCCAAATTAAGCTCAGTATTTTCTTTTATTTGACAAGGGACAGGAACACAATTGAACTTTCTACCAATTTTCTCTTAACTGAAGATTACATCTTAATCGTCTTTCTGAACAAGTGTCATTGAGTTTGACCAGAATCTTCCAACTACTGTAATAGGCCCTGTTTTTCATGACCTCTGGCTCTCCTCTGATGCCTCTTGACACTTGTGTGTGGGTCTTCTAAAGAGATCGCAGTGCCCACAGCCTAACGAAGTACTCTGGTAGAGGCTTTAAAAGCACCAAGCACAGGAGAGAAATTTCCTCTCTGTGTTTTACATATGCAACTCTTGTTAATGCACCTCAAAAGGAAATCTGTAGTGTTTGAATTGGCATTCTCTTCTAAGTTCGCAGCTCAGCCTGCAGACTATTTTACACTTTTTTAAATCAAACAGCAGCACCACAAAGAGGTAACAGATACAACAGGAAGGTCTCTTTTTCCAGGAATAAATAGCAGTGAAACCTCAACGGGCACAGATTTTTTTATATTTGACATACAAAACAAATTTTCAGAACTTAGTAATGTATAGCACAAGATTTTGTAATTTTCTCTACTGGATGCTTAGAAACAGCTCCCTGTATGTTTTCGGTTTTTTCATTCACATATGCCCAAGTCACAGTGAAGCTGACTGATCTACAATTCCTTAATTAGTCAAGGGTAATCACTCTCTTCTACCAAGACTAAAGATGACATTTTGCCCACTGTGTAACATTCATTTTCTAATACATGTTTCAGCAGCCAAATGTGAAGCAAAACCTGTAAGCTCRACTGTGGAATCACAATTCTTTTCCACTCCACATTGACCAAGATACCTCTTCACCAGCCAGGGAAACAGGATCACCTGGCACACTGCACCATGAACTTCCCAGTCCACCAGGGCCCATCTTAATGAGCTGCAGGCCAACTTCAGTCTGACAGACCCTTCCAATCATCTCAAACCCTTAGCTTAGAGGAGACTGAGACACTGATAACAGCAAAACAGCACCTGAGCAGACAAACTGGCCAGCTCTTACTTAGGAGTTCCTGTCACGCTTCTTTAGACTTGTCTCACRGTCACCTACAGACACTGGTGACAGACAATCCTGCACCAGCACCACTKTATCAGAACCCAGATGTGGGAATCAAGGGAAAAAACCAGCAGGATCTGATGCTTGCCAGGATGGAATTTCTTGTCCTCAAATTAAGGTTTGCATCTCCACAACCTACTGTGAAAAGCTCAGTAAAGATTTTCAGTATATTTGTCTCCCATCCCCTCATAATAAAAGAACACCTTTSGACCAAGGATTATATTTAGGGTGTTCTATCTGTATCAAAACCCATCCTAAGCAGGCATCTGTAAATGCAYTGGACAAGATACCTGGTCAGAAACCTGAAGTTAAAAGTAGTAGTACATTTCGGAAGCAGCCACAAAGCCCCAAACAATGGAATAGTTAGGAGACAGATATATAGATAGAGATACAAATATTTTGCATATATATAATCTCAAAAAACCCGSAACAACAAACCCAACTCATAAAGTATAGCTAAGGACTGCAGGACAGATTGGGGGGTGAGCAAGTTGGTTCCCCCCATAATGGTGGAAATAATGGCTTATYTTTTCAAAGACATTGCAGAAAGAACTGAACTACAGGATGACTGTAGAGACAAAAATCAATGGGGGAGATAGATGTCTGTCCTGATTTCAGCTAGGATAGAATTCTTCCCAGTTGCTGGTAGAGTGCTTTGTAGCTAGTATAAAACAAACATMATTTTTTATACATCATTTGATTCTCTCTTTCTTGTTCTCCTCTTCATATAAACATTGTTAGCAGCATACTTTGTTTCAGTTATTAAACTTCTTATCATAATCCACAAGGAATACTTTTTCCCCTCAATTCCCCTCCCCACCAGTCTGGGGATGTGGTGAGTGAGTGGCTGCCTGGTACTTAATTGCCAGCTAAGGTTAAAAAAAAAAACCCTAGTTTGTAAAAACAAACAAACAAACAAACAAACACCCCCACAACCTTGAAAGTACAGATAAGAATGAAATATTGTGTCTATATAAAATAGAAGAGAGATTAAATAACAATTAAATTAGTCCAAAGGTGAGACAGACATGATATCTTTCACAATTAAAGTTATAGCATATTTATATGTTATAAATATATATTAAATATTAATATAATTGTTTAATAAAAAAACTTAATTTTTTTTAAAAGTGAAACTGAGTACAAAATGTAGCCACAGAAAGTACTCACACTATTGATCAAAAAGTATTTAAATTACACAAATCAAGTAAGTCCAGTTTCAAATCCAAAAATCAAATATCAAAAAGTTATTTTCCAATAAGTGTCAAACAGATGGATTCCACTCTAGAAGCACTACAAGACAAAATTTCAGTTTTGCAATCACAGATGAGATTAATTCAGATGATAGTTCTTGAGTATTTATTTGCTTAGAATTAATTTGCATAGTGTATTTATGAAACATATCATTACTAATACATTTATGGGTAATTAAAATAAAACAACACAAAAACCCTCAAACCAACCAAACCTTCCACAGAATTAGTGTTATGTGCAAGACAGATAAGTAGGTTGCTACTATTTGACAACGAGAGTAAAGGAAGTGCTTTCAACACTGGATGYACAGCCAGCAAAATATGAACACCAAGAGCCATCTGTAGCACACTCCTCCATTACTATGTCCTGCTTTAAGTTCTGACATCTGACTTCCTGAGCTATCTGTAATCCTGAAAACTTATTCCACAGAATTTAAAGGCACAYTCACATCAGACTACAGAAAACATCATCAGCTGAGAACCAGCTGGAGGCATCGTTTTAGTTAATGTTTAGCTGAAGGAAGTCAGCAGAGTGGTCAAGACAGTAGCTTAAAAATGGAAAGTAGTTGCAAAAGAGAACAGTGTTAAAGGAACAGAAAGACAGCAAAAGGGACAGGAAAGGTGAGACTGTTCCGTGGATACAAAGAACAAGAGGTTATGAAAGCATGTCATTCAAGAAGCCTGCAAACACTGTGAAACTAGTAAGGCCAAAACTGATCCATAATATACGAAAATACAAACTGTTTAATAATCAATACTAAAAACTCGTCTGTGTAGCTCCAACACTCATAGAAGCACTAGATGCAGTGACAGGCCCCCTTGCAGAGTACTCCACCAGTAAAAGTCAGCTTGTGAAAGGCACCTTACGAAGTTAACGGGTACAGTCAAAATATTTACTAGGGATTCGGGAGCTCATTTGTGTGTCCGCACCTCCASATAATGGCTTACAACGCCTTTTACAATGACAAACAAATGGGATCGGGAAACAGGACACAAACAAAACCAAACAACACCCCCATCCATGTCCCCAGAGCCTGGCGCAGAGACCGCTCCGGACCGGGCCGACCTCCTCAGGCTCCCCCCCGTCACCGAGGCCGCCCAGCGACACCGGTGCTTCAGGGGCTGGCCCAGGCCCTTCCCAAATCCTCAGGGAGAGGGCTGGCCCGTCCATCCCCCATCCCGACCCACCTTGAGAAGAATGGAAGGTGGCAGCTSGTTGATGTCAGGGGTGGACGCCGGCGGCGGCTCCCGGCAGCTGTCGCCGGGGTACTCCAGCGGCTCCTCACAGCCCGCCTCGCCGCCACGCTCCTTCTCCTCCTCCCGGCCCTGCTCCTTCTCCTCCTGGGGCGCGGGAGGCGGCGGCGAGGCGGGCTGTCCCCCGCCGCTCTGCCCGGCGGTGCCCCCGCCGCTCTCCCCCGCGGCTCCGGGCAGAGCGAGCAGCTGCGGCTCCGCCGGGCACTGGCAGGCGCCGGGCTCGGGCTCGGCGGCGGCGCAGCGCGGCTGCTTGCAGGGCGGGCAGGCGGGCAGCCCGGCCCCCTTGCGCTTGCACACCATCTCGGAGGACACCTCGCCGGGTGGCCCCAGGAGGCCCCGCACCGGCGAGGGCAGCAGGCCGGACAGGAAGAGACGCTGGCAGCGGCCCGGCGGCTCCCAGGCGGCGGGTGCCAGGCGCAGGAGGCGGCGGGCGACGCGCTGCTCCGCGGCGGTCAGCGACACGTAGGGCGGCGGCAGCAGCGGGTCCCCGGCGGACAGTGGCTGCTCCGGGACGGGCGGGCTGGCGCCGTGCACGATGAAGCAGAGCATGCAGGGTCCGCGCAGGAAACAGCTCCGGCTGCGCGGCGGCGACACCTTCCCCCGCGGGTGGCGGCGGTCCCGACTCAGGCTCCTTGCCTCCTTCGAGAGCAGGTGGCCCATATAGGAGGGCAGGCGGCGACGGCGGAAGGGCGGGTGTCACCTGCGGGAGGCGGCGCCGGGAGCTGACATGCTGCCGGCGGGCCGGGGCAGGAGGCGGCGGCGGCGGCGGGGCTGGTTCCGGGACGCCGGGAGGGAGGGAGAAGCTTCCGCTACCGCCGGCCTGACCTCCCCCGGGGAGAGGGGGCGGTGCTCCGCGGGCCGCCGCTGTTGGCGCCAGCGGCCGCGCTGGGGCCGAGGAGGGTCTGTCGCGGGTGGGTGCCCGCTGTGTGCCGCTGTGTGGCACATCAGGACACTCTCTGCAAATGCGGCTGTACGGACTCCATGCGGCACGTACGCGTGTGCTATGTGCGTACGTGCATTATCACTGAGTTGTTAGGGTTGCAAGGGACCTCTGGAGATCATCGCGTCCTAYCCCCTGCCAAGGTGGGGTCACCCGGAGCGCGTGACACAGGTGGGTTTGGAATGTCTTCAGAGAGGGAGACTCCACGGCCTACCTGTTGTAGTGCCCTGCCATGCTCAACGTGAAGTTGTTGTTGAGGATGGTTTAGTTTATGGCTATTCCCCCTTGTCCTGTTGTCCTGGGCACCACTGGAAGGAGCCTGGGACCATCCTGTTGGCATCAGCCCTGGAGATACTCGCACCCATTACTGAGATCCCCTTTCACTCTTCTCTAAACTGAACATGCCCAGCTCCCACAGTCTCTCCTTATAAAAGATGCTCCAGACACATCGTCATCTTTGTGGCCTCTGGACCCCTTTGCAAAGCCTTTAATGTATACACATAAGATGTAYAAAATACATGCATGTTTTTGAGTAAGAAGTATAAAAGTTTTTTGGATTGTACTTCATAGGCAAAGTGTCCGAGGACCCGTGTCCACTGCTCTCAGATTATTTGCAGGACAGTGGCTGAGGTTTTGCAGTGGCAAAGCAGCACAAGCTTAGAGACCACCAACAGCAACCTCCCAAATTTTCTTATGTCAACACAATCTTCCCACCAACACTCTGCAGAGAATATTTGTTTTCTGTTCTTTTAATTCTGTGTACACCCAGAACCAAGGCTTAGATGGACTTCTGATCCCATATGCCCTCTTGCAGACACCTCTAACTGCAGTGTGTTGAACCTCAATGCAGGTGTCCAGGTGTGTAAATCCTTGCTGGAGGCTGCAATGTTTTAATTAAGACTTAGTGCCTAGCAAAAACAATTTGTTGCAGCRTTCAGTTCTATACTGTTGACTTGCATGTATAGTTTAAATATATATGCCATTTTGTCTTTAGTAGAAGATGTTTGGGGAAGGAGAAGGTGAGTTATAGCTAGGGTATATATGGCACAGTTCTAGTATTAAATAACAAAGGACAGAAAAGAAATGTACAGTATTTTATATTGTGTAGTGCATCTTTTGGCCTTTTGCCCAGGGACGGGCTATGTTAGGATTAAAATACCCAAGCTGATATTATTTTTGTTTATTACCTCTATTATGAGTCTTCAGCGGCTGTACAAAAATATGTTTCCTATGAGAAAAGTACTAAATATACCTTTGGATGAAAGTAGAGCAGTAAAATATTTTGTTTGGATTTATAACTCAATGAGATTCATCAGTATAAACCGCAGCAAATTTTTGCACAAAAAATTGGCAAGGTGTTTTCTGCTCTGTTGGGAGAATGGGTTGAAAAGCAGAAGACAGCTGTAAGTAACCCTTARTGAGACCCTTAATAAGTAACCCTTAATGTGTGAATGACAGGCCAGTGATCCTCCTAGTGGTCTGGGTTTAACAGTGCCTGCTCTGCCCTCATGTAGGCCAGGTGTTSCTTCAGGGCTTCACCAGTTAGCAAGGTAATCAACATAAATTCACTCTTTGTGCCTTAGCCATAGGTGTGTGGTTGTCTAAGCTGYTTGCCTGTGGCAACTCATACACTCCCTCCTCCCACAGACTGCAAAATTTTATTTCAATAAGGAGAAACAAAGACCACAGTGAAAGAAGCTGAAAGCCCAAGACAAATCTTCAAACCAGTTGGAACTCAAAAGAAAGGCTGGCCATCTTTAACTTCTCCAGAGTATGTCCTTCCCACACAGGCCACAGTATTTCAAGAGCTGCTGCAGAGGTTATCCCTTCCATGGGTCCACAGGTCCTGCCAGGAGCCTGCTTCAGAACAGGCTTCTGATGGGGTCATGTATGCCTTTGGACATCTACCTCCTCCAGCATGGGATCCTCCATGGGCTGCAGGTGTACGTGTTCCAGTGGACTCCTTCCTCCATGGGTCAGAGTCCCTTTGACTCAAGATCACGGTGGARTTCCAGCCTATCCAGTATGACAGCACAGGAGCACAGCAGTGGCCTGGCCACCTTCCRGCCCAGGCGCTTTGCCAGGGCTGTCACCAAAGTATTCCCAGACACAACTTGCTGAGATGACCAGCAGTGCAGGCAGCAGCAAAATCAGAGTGGCCGCTAACAAGCACTGGGCTCTAAGGGACAGACAGGAAAGCAAGCCCCATAGCACAGTAGCTTGCCAATTAATAGCTAAACAGCAGTAACAGCTACAAATTCAGTGTAGCACATTCCAATCAAATCTGCCATTACTTCAACCCTTCATGCACTACACTGGGTGCCTAAACAACTGACATGGTTTAGGTCTTTCAACCCCAGATCTTTTTTTTCTTTTTAATCACCTGTTTTTCATGAGTTTTATTTCTTCTCTGTTTTATTTTCACTTTATTTTTCACTTTTCCTTGCAGTCCATTATTACTACTATTATTACTGTTTCTAAATTATTGAACTGCTGTTAGCTACCTCAACCCACGAGTTTGTTTCTCCCTTTTACACTTCTAATTCTTTCTCTGTCCCACTTGGGTGGGAGAGTGAGAGAGATCAAGTGAGCAGATGTGTTTTTCTTAGTTGCCAGCTAAGGTTAAACCACAAAAACTGTGTTTGTCGTAAATATGTTTGGTATGATTATTTTCCCTTCAAGTAGATAACAGAATCACAATATCCATTAGGTTGGAAAAGACCTCTCAGATCATTGAGTCCAACCTTTTACCAAGCACCACCCTATCAACCTGACTATGGCACTAAATGCCACATCTGGTTTTTCCTTGAACAACTCCAGGAGCAGTGACTCCACCACCCYCTGGGCAGCCCWTTCCAATGTCTAAGCACCCTTTCTGTGAAGGAATTCTTCCTATTGTCCAAACTAAATCTCCCCTGGAGCAGTTTAAGGTTCTGTCCTCTTGTCCTGGTGCTGATTCCCTGCACAAAAGGACCAACCTGGCTAAAGCCTCATGTCAGGGAGTTGCAGAGAGCAGGAGCCTCCTTTTCTCCAGGCTGAATGCACCCAGATTCCTCACTTGTTTCTTATCTGACTTACGCTCCACTTCCTTTCCCAGCCCTTCCCTTCTCTGGACATGTTTCAGTGCCTCAGTGTCCTTCCTGAATTGAGGGACCCAAAGCTGGACCCAAAGCACTCGAGGCATGGCCTCAGCAGTGTCCAGCACAGGGAGATGGTCACTGCCCTGCTCCTGCTGCCCCACTCTTGGTGACACAGACTAGGTGCCATTGGCCTTTCTGACACCTGGGCACAGCTGGTTCATATTCAGCTGCTGTTGACCAATACCCCCAGGTTCTTTTCCACCAGGCAGCTTTCCAGCCACTCTGCCCCAGCCTGTAGCACTGCAGGGGTTGTAGTGGTCTTGTTGAACCTCAGAGCACTTGACTCAGCCCATCAATCCAGCTTTCCAGATCACTCTGCAGAGACTTCCTGCCTTGTATCAGACCAAGACTCCTACCCAAACTGATGTTGTTTGTGAATTTGCTAATGGTAGACACAATCCCCTCACCCAGATCATCAATGAAGATGTTAAACAGAACTAGGCCCAACACTGACCTCRGGGGGAGATCACCACTGACCAGATGCCAGCTGGATGCGGCACCATTCCACTGTCCTCGGGACCCAGCCATCCAGACAGTTCTTAACCCAGCCAAGAGGGCACCTGCCCAAGCAGTGGACTGCCAGCTTTTCCAGGGAGATGGTATCAAAGGCTTTGCTGACATCCAGGCAGATGATATCCACAGTCTTTCCACTGCCTGGTGGGTCATCTGATTATGAAAGAAGATCAGGATCAAAGGAGATGATTGTTTCATTGGTTTTATGCCACTTGTACCTCACAATTAAATACTTTGTACAGCTGGATCACCATTAACAGATATAATGTGTATCAGAAATTACAGTGTTTCTGAAGTTGCTGCATGTATAAAATTTTTATCACCATAAGTGTACAAGTTCCAAGACAATGGTGCTGTCAGGGTGCTACAGGGGGACCAGAGGCAAACTTTACCCACATCCAAATTGTTTTCAAATATCTTTAGTACTTAAAACCTACATATGTCTAGCTGTTTCAATCAAGTAGATCTTCAAAGTTCCCCAAAGACTGGCCATATCTGTACACAAGTAGAGAAATTCTTTCTATTGTTTTCAGTCTTCCATCTGAAGTTGAAAAACACTTCTCCCAAAACACAGCCCACTTCAATTTCTGAACTGTGCAATTCAGTCTAATCAAGACCTCATTCAAAGAGAGAATGGTGTAAGTACATAAAAAGCTTCGGGTTTGGGGTTTTTTTTAATAATCTAGGCAAAATTTTTTAGGTACAAACACAGAGGGAGAGTATAGATAATTTTTTTAGATGGTAGACTTGTTTTTTTGATAGCCTGCAAGTGCTGAACAGATTTTAAATTACAAGATTGAGTGATAAGAAATTCAGTGAAGTATAGGGTGTTTCTGGTCTATGCAAGTATTTTAACACTGAGTGTCACTGTTGCTTCATGGAAGGAAAGCACAGTTACCACTTGTACAGTAAAAGCAGAATGAAATGRCCAAATACCAGCTGGGAAATCTTCCCTACGTTAATGTCAGAAGGCAGATATAACTAACAGCTCATTTCTTCATTATCACTACTTACATTCAATGAAATTAGAAATCATAAAACCAGTAATGTGAGATAGAACTTAGTCTAGAAATTAAGCAGTAAAATCCCCTTAATTTATGATAACAAAGGTTTATTATGCACACAGCAATAGATTATGACATTTTTTGGTGTTATCTCTGTGCATATTTAGAAAGAACACAAAGACTGGTAACCCAAGATTAGTATGG